CTTTATTTAGATCCAGCCTGTGCTAGCTTGACTGTGAATCAGTCAGGCTCAATGGCCACCCAGATGCGATAGTGCCTGGAGAAAAGAGCCCAGAAACTGCAGCTCGCTCTGATATTGTGGCATCACGGAGAGAGGTAAATGAGACTCAAACAAAAACAGTTTCAATCCAGACTCTGCCTTTGTCAGTTGATCTGAGTTAGTCACAGCCCCGCTCTAGGGGTTAGGTATCCTATCTGAAAAGTGGGGATAATAGCACAGACACACTCTGAGATCCACAGATAAGAACAAGATATAATTGCTGCACGTGCATAACAATCTTACACAGGAGTGGCACCCAGTATCGTGCAAAAATCCACACAAACTGCATAAAGCATCAAAGCAAGGTCCCTGCATTGGGATCTGCCATCCCGATCTGCATTTTCCCTTTAAATGATTTGTCGCAGAACTAAAAAAAGAACTTTGGCCACCTGGCCTTCTAGTCTCGTTTCTTAACCAACTAGCTATCTTACTTCCTTGAAGTACTATTTTAAGCAGAACATCTCAAGTTAAAACTCTGTTCTTAGGAAAAGTATCAGGTATTATTGGTGGGACTTTTATTTCTGATACCTGAAAGGTATTCTACAAAAACATGCACAAAACACATCTTCTAGTACCTTAGATTACGGACGGAGCTGACAACATGAGACTGGGGTTTGGTTTCAGAGTGAACGTGCATGGGATAACTGAGATTTACTATCGTAACTGGAACTTACAGAAACAATTAGGAAGACAGCGACACTCATTCCTGCATGCCTGCTGCGTAATGTCGTAACGGTGGTGCTGGAGGAATCGGGGTATTAATGACATTTTGCATTTACAGAGCACATTCTTCTAAAGATTTCAAAGGGCTCCACAAAGATGGAAGCATCTTATCCCTATTTTATGGGCAAGGAAACTGAGGGCCTGGGAGGGAGAAAGTGACTTAGCCAAGGTCATACTGAGAGTAAGTGAAAGACCTGGGAACTGAACGGAGGCATTTTAGCTCCTAGCTCTTATTGTAATCATTAGGCAGTGGGACAAACTCACACCTGTTGTGATATAAATAACTGCATAATTCACTTCCTCAGTTATACCAGTGAAGTTTGGTGCATTCTCTCAAAAATACAACAAAATACAAACAGGCACATAAATGTCTGGGAGCCCTGACACATCTTTGCTCATGCTACACCCTGCTACTGAGTGTCTAAAAACAGGCACTTCATACCTTGACCTATTTCAAGTCAAATCCCCCTTCTCTTCACCACGTATTTCCACAGGAGTCAGAAGGCCTAACATAAAGACACTCGGCAGGATTTAGCCCCTAGTCTGCAAGGAACATTAGCTTTCTCCTGGCATCATTGCACATTTTACAGGAAAGGCAACATAAAACCTTGCAGTTGTCAGAATAAATAATTTACATATTGGGGCACTACCTCCCATTTCCTCAATCCCAATGTCCCCAGCAATCTTAGCTCGGAAGGGAATGTGACTCAGGCCTTCAACTGAAGGGTTGTCATCTCCAAACCCTGAAGACTGGATGTGGCCGTGGTTTTATCACTGGCCCCCAGCTGCCTCTAGAACTCTTGCCTCCTCCCCAATGATTCAGCAAATCTTCTTTGAGGAGAAAAACAAGCATGTAAGTGAACAAATCACAATGTCAGATTACAAAGATGAGCGGGGAAAAACTGCGGCTCAAAAGAGGGAGATAAAGGCTGGTAAAGTCACATGATCCAAGGACTGGCGGGCCTTGCAAAGACTTTTTTTTGGAGGAAGGTAATTAAAATGTGAAAAGTATCGTTGGAGTCCTTACACCTTAAAACATTGCCAACAACAAGAGAGAACACAACGTGGAAAGAAATGGAGCATATTTTGCCCTCCATTATCTAGATATTGCACCAGGCTGATCTGAATTGTCACTAGTGTAACTGAGAGCAGAATTGCACATTTTGGCTTACATTGGAACAAAGTTCCATCAAGCAAACTATTTTCAGAAGGAGTTTCTGCTCTCTGCATTAAAACCCCCCCCAAAACAAAAAACAAACACTAACCAAGATTTTCAATAGTTTGGAAGCCCAATATCAGCACTTTAAACGTTACTGTTCCTGGAAAAATGTTCTACAAGTCATGTGGTATCTAAGGCATCTCAGCAGCTAGAAATAATGCTTTAACCTATGGTAGTGTCGGCCAGTGAATCCTATATTTATATATTATAGCACTTTTCCACAAACATTTTGTTTGCTGCTGTAACCATTTCTGAGGTGGAACACAGTATCAACCTAACGGTTCATGGTACACAGTACACAGAACAGAAAGTATAGAAGAAACTTCAGCAG